CTTCCAATAACAAAAGCCAAGGCTGAGCTACCCTGCTGCCTTCTGGCAGCCAGCCCCAGGGCGGGAGAAAGGCCCCAAGGGGAATTGGAGTGTTGGCCCAGAGAAGCCCCCAGAGCTGCCAGCCAGGCTGGGCTCTGCCCCAGGCAGCAGCCACAGCAGCACCCCAGCACAGGTGGTGAGCGAGTCATGAAGCTCACCTTCATGGCTTCTGGCTTTCACGGGGCCGCCCAGTAGCTGCTCAGGCCAGGCCCCCAGAAGCCTCGCTCCAATGGGGCAGTGAAGCTGCACTCCAAAGGAGGGCAGTCTGGGCTGCCCACATGGTTCCCTCTAGAATCCGCCCACCCCAGGGACCTTCCGCTGTGGCCATGATGATGGCCATGGGTGAAACGGACTCAGAGCCTCAGATAGAGCGACTCCCTGAGTCTGCAAAGAGCTTCCGTCTGCTCATCTCCACTGATTGTTGTCGGGACTAGGAGCAAAGCAGGGATCATGCTCCCATTTCACGCCAGGGGAGACTAAGGTTCTGCCAGATGAAGGAGTCTGGCCCAGGCTGGGCCACCCATATCTCAGACCTAACCCCTGGGTTTCCACTCCCTGAACCTTTAAACCATAAACCAACCAACGATAACAATCATGACAGCAGCTCTCCATGCTTTACATAGAGTATCTCTCTGAAAAATCACAACAGCCCCACTACCATTATCTCAAGCGGTTTGCTCAACCAAGGTCACAGAGCTAGACTCGTGACTCTAAATGATGGTGAGGCCACCTTGATCTGCTGCAGTGGGAGGCAGCTCAAGCTTCTGGTTTGATCCTGGAGCCTCCTTCCTCGAGGGGCCCAGAGCCTGGGCCCCAGCAGCCCTACAGTAGCCTGGGCTCTCGTGGTGGGTCTCAGAACACATCCGGGCAGGGAAAGGACACTAGACTGCAAGCTCAGCCACTGGCTTCTGTGTGGCCTTGGCCAGCTGCTCGCCCTCTCTGGGCACTGGGGTCCCGATGTGGCTAGACACAACCTCTTCTTGCTCCCCCTCCCCTGTCCCAGCGCTGCCAGATCAGCCCCTGAGAGCCACAGCCTAGCCCCCTTCTGAGCCAAGCCAGTCCACCTCCCAAAACAGCCCTGTAGCCTCCCCCACCCATGTCTGGCCCCCCTCCCCAAGGGCGGGGTTGGCATGGAAAGTCCCACACACTCTCAGCTCCTCTGGCTTGTCCAACTATGGTCACCTCTCCCCCATCTCCAGCTGTCTCTGGCTCAGGGTCCTCCAGGCTATGGGTGGATTCAGCCAGCTCGGAACCCGCCTGGCCTGGGGGCCCACAGGGCTGTATGAGGTCAGGGTTCCAGGCTCCTGTCCAGAAGCAAGACTGCCAAGCCCAAGGCTGGGCTGGCTGCAGAGTGAACTGGGAGGGAGCCCCGCAGCCTGGACCCCTGAGAGCCCCAGCCAGACATCCAGGCTCCCTTTCAGCTGTGCTCAAGATGGCACCAAGAGGCAGAGTGAGGATGGTTAGGAGGAGGCCAGAGTTTACCTGGAAGGACCCTGGGGTCCCCAGAGCCCTCTATGGGATTCCTACAGCCGATGGAATGAAATCAGATCTGCTGCTTAGCTCTGGTCAGTCCAAATCAAGGAGGAATCAAGACTGCAAGCCTCTGGAGAGAGGAAATACTACAACCGAGCCGCAGCCCCAGGACCCACCTCCATGCAGCCTCCACCAGGACCCTGCTGACCCCCTCCAGCTTCCGGCTCTGGGACTCTGAGCTGGGCTCGGACCTCAGGTGCCCAGTGGCCCCAGGGAACCAGCGGGGGAATACCCAGCCTTGTTTCAGTGGGCATGTCTCGGCAGCCAGTTAAGACGGCACCTGGGAAACGTCTTCCTCAGGAAATAATTCCAGTACCATCCATGGAGGTTGTCCTTCATGCCGGGTACTGGACCAAACATGCTACATGCCTTCCCTCATTGGGCCCTCACTGTGACCCTGGCTCTGTAAGGAGAGGTACTTGCTGAAGACCATGGAGCTGGTACATGATGGAGGTCAGATCTGAGCCCGGGGCTTGCAGAACCCTAGAGCCACTGGCTGTGCTGCCTTTGAGTTTGGCCAGTCCAGGCAGCCCTGACACTTTTCTTTATCTTCTAGAATCTACATTGTCATTAAACAAATGTTCATGGAGTTCCCACTGTGTGCCTGGCAACAGCGGGAAGAATTTCTTTATAGAAATCCACTAGGACCAGAAAAAAAAGCATCCAGGCTCCAAGAAACCTTTCCTAAAAGAGCTGTGGGGGTGGGGGTGGGGGCAGGCAAGAGGCCAGTACTTTCTGTGGTGGACAGAGAACTGGCCTGCGAGTCTGGAGGCTGAGGTTCTAACAGCAGTCTGATCCGCTCTTGCTGTGCCATCTTCGGGCAGCCACCTCGCCTCTCGGGGTCTCCCTTTCCTCCCTCCGCTGTAAAACCGGGGACTGCTCGGAGACCTCGGGGGTCCCTTCCAGCGCCAAATCCCTGCGGCTGGTCCCAAGAGGGCTTCCGGGGAGCCCCGGGCCGGGCTGGCATCGGAGCTCCCGGGCGGGCCCTACCTCCCTAGTCTAAGAGTAACAACTTGCAACCCGAGCCGCCGGGACCAGGGGGGTTGAGGGGGTGGAGGCGGACCTACCTGGAGTTGGAGGCACAGGGACAGGGGCGGAGGGAGGAGATTGGGGGAAGCCCGGGAGAAAGAGAGGAAGAGGGGTTGATTCTGTGGCAGGCACAGCCTCGCAGACGGAGGTGGGACCCCACCACCACCCCCGGGCTTTGGGAACTTTGGGGGCGAGCGGCGGGCAGCTCCGGCGACTCGCAGGCTGCCCTCGGCGGCGAGGCTGGAAGAGCGAAGGTGGCGGCGCGCGCTTACCCGGTTGATCTCGGCCAGCCTCCTCTCCTGCCGGGCTTTGAGCATGCCGAACGCCTTCCCTCCTGGAGGAGACAAAGAGGCAGTCCGGGAAGCGGGGGTCTCCCCGGGCCGTGCGTTCCCGAGCGCGCGCCCGCCTCCCGCGCGCCGCAGACCCCGCCGTCCGCCCCGTGCGCACAGGTGGCGGGCGGGGGACAGCGGGCGCGGGCCGGGGGCGGGACAAGGGCGCGGGACCGCGGGGGACAGCGGCGCCTACCTTGGAACCTGTTGCTGAGCGCGACCGACATGGTGAGCAGGGGGCTCCCGCCGGTTCGGGGCTTCGCGACCGCAGAGAGGGACGAGGAGGAGGGACTAGCGCCTGGTCCGAGCTCCGGCGGCGTGTGGCGGCGGGACCGAGGGGCGGAGAGGGACGGCGCGGGCGGCCGGACACACCCCTCCCTCCCTCCACCTCCAGGCCCGCCTCCCCTCCCCTCCCTGCTGCCTGGCCTCCAGCATCAAAGCCGCTATTTTGCGGGCCGCGGGGCCGCGGGGCCGCGGCCGGCCCCTCTGCTGGAGGACGCGGAAAATGCACACAGCGTGGGGCCCGCCCTCTCCGCTCCTACTGGGACCTCGACAAGACCCTGCCCCGCGCCGGGCCGCGGTTTCTCCGTAAATCAAACGAGACGATCTTAGTTCGCACCTCACGGGGTTTGTAAGGATCAAATGGGGGGCGGGGCGGGGCGGCAGGAGTGAGCGCTCACCCAACCAAAGCTGGTGCGTTACTCCTGCCCTTTGCGGAGCACGCACTTCTAGAAGGGAGGCTGCCTTCCCAACCTTTATTTTTAACTCTTGCAAGAAAAATACAAAAACTTTTAGTTTCTGTTGAGAAAACGCATAATGACAGAGTGCCACTAGGACATGGGTGACGCTTTAAACCAATTAGAATGAATCTGTTTTGTTAATAAAACCTATTTCTCAGCATTCCCGGGGTGCCAGGCACTTTGCCAGATCAGTACAGGATACACTTGTGAAGTCATTTAATTCTCAAAACTCTCTGTGAAATAGGACTCCGCATTCTCAGTTTACTGCAAAGTCAGGAAGTCGAAGCCGGGAGTCCAAGTCCGCTGTGGGGCTCAGGGTACAGGAACTGGGGACTTGTAACAGGACTTGTAACAGTCCCGCGTCCAAATCAGGACATTTCTGAGTGAAAGGTGGCACTCCTAATAATTATGCTGGGGTGACAGGCACAGACGGAGACTGTCCTGGGCAAACGGTACACCTGTAATGTCCCCCCCCCACACACACACACACAGAGTGTGTCCCTGGGGACTGGATCCAGAAAGTCTCCTTCCCACAGACTTGCCTCCATCCTGACCCTTAGGATTGGAATTCTGGTACCAGCTGGTCATCTTTTTTTCTGTAGTTGCCCTGGGGAGGGAAGTAGCCAGGCTGTCTCAAGGGAGGGGGCTGGAGAGAATGGGACAGCCCAAGGTGGGCTAATGCCAGGGCAGCAGTTCAGGGGGCAAGCCCCACCTCCCAGCACAGCCCAAGCCTGCTTCCCCTAGGTTACTCTCCTATGCCCTTTCATCCCTAGGGTTTGGATCCAGCCAAGCTGTGTGACCTCAGGCAAGACACTTGACCCGTCTGAGCCTCAGTCTCCTGATCCGCAGAATGGAGGAAACAAACACTTCTCACCCAGCAGGGGCTGTTAGGACTTTCATTACTTTCAGAGTGGTTTAAGCAGGTAGTAAAAGCTTGGAGGGGAGAAGGGCTTGGTTGATGGGAGATCTATCTGGAGGCCAGAGAAGGGAGCTGACTTAGAATGGGGCCCTCCTAACACACCTCCTCGTCCGGGCTCTGACGGCCTGCTGCCCTGGCCAGTCAGGCTGGTTGGCCTGGGGCAGCCGTTCTGCAGGGCAGGGGCCCCTGCACCTTCCACTGCTCAGCTGCTGGGCTGCATTGCTGGCCAGATGTTCACCAGCTGCTGCATTCCACCCAGCCACAGCCCCACCTCTGGGGCCAGAGAGTGGCTCTGAACACCCAGGCATGACTGGCTGCATGAGTCATGGGACGTCAGCCCTGAAGCACGTCACCGCAGGATGGAGAGGAAGCCGGTTCTCCACCCGTCAGGGATGCTGGGATTGGGCTTTGCTGAGCCCCACGGCTTGAGCGGACATAGGTTTAATGCCAAGAGCAGGCATCAGAACGGCTGTGTGCCCGTCAGCAGGGAAACCAGGCGGAGGGGAGCGAGGGAGAGGGGCCTGGGGGCATCGGACCTGTCCCAGAGGTCTTCCAAGAACTCCCATCTCCTTGGCACAGCTTACACCAGACACCAATCCTCAAACTCACTGTACAGCAACAGCCTCCTGTTTTGGCCTCCCCGCCCCGTCCTTCTGCCCGAATCTACCAAGTCACTCCCCAGGTCATTGACTAGCACCACGTCACACACGCACACGCACACCACCTTGGTTTTCAGGTTCTCTGTGGAGGAGCACACCTCCCCTCTGAATGCTCTCCCCCAGCAGGCTTGGAGGGGGCACAGCCCAGCCCTCATTATAGGGCCTTGGACCCAGAGACCCTCCTTACTCTGAACAGTAGCAGGGGACCTGGCCTGAGCTGGGTTGGTCTCTCCTAGGAAGGTCGAATCAGGACAGTTGCCAGCTTGTCTCTGCCAAGCATCTGACCTGATGACACGTAAACTCAGGCAGTGGTGAGGCAGGGGAGGCAGTGCAGGCATCCTCCTCCAACAACTGCAGGAAAAGCAAAGAGAGCTGCTCTGCGGAGAGAAAAGACGGAAGCAAACAAGGAGAGAGACGCAGAGGCAAAGGCCAAGGGGAGAGGCGGGGGGTGGGGGTGGGGAGGAGCCCCCAGCCCCAGACTCTCTCAGCCTGGGCAGCTCTTCCCACTCCAGGGTTCCAGGAGACCCTCCCATGTCCTCCCAACTCTTTTCTGTTTAAACCAACTCCGGAGGGGTTCCGGCCTTGTGGCCATGAGCCCTGATTGAGCGCGCTCCATAATCCCGCCCCTGCAACCTGGGTTCCCGAGTGACCCGTGCTGGCCAGGACCCCACCCTGCAAACCCTGGGCTGTTGCCCACTCTCTTGCCTGGAATGTTCCCCTCTGTCTCCCCACCCTTCCAGGCCTGGCCCAAAGCCCTCCTCCTCTCCTCACTGGTGTCCTTCTGAGGCTTTCTGTGCCACCCAATGCTTGATTTTGAGTTCAGTTTCCTGCCTCAGTGTCTCAGCCTAAGCCAGAGGTCAGCTGAGGGCCTCTCTATACCCCACCCTCAAACTCCCCAAGACTTTGCCTGATAAGCCTCCTGGAGCAGAGGGGAAAGGGCAGGTGCCCATGGTTGCAGGACTCCAGCAAGTCCCCCGTCCCCCAATGGGACGACCCTGGCAAAGCCAGTGAGCTCAGCTTTTGCCACCTTCCTGTGACTGCATGTGGACAGAGATGGATCACTGCACGTTCTTCCACCCACTCCCTGGGCGCTGGGTGCTTGCACCCACACCCAGGCCAGGGCGGTGAGTCTGAACCCTCAGCCAGGGCCCCTGCTGCCAACCAGCAGGGCAGGACTAGAGGCACACTACCCAGCAAGTAAAGGGGGCCTTTATTTCCACATTAAGTAGAATTGGTCCATGCTGCCACCTGTCCCCGCTGCCAGGGACAGGAAGAGCCATGGGAGGTTGGTGGGCCCCCTCAGGCACCCACTCCCCCAGTGCCAAGGCCCTGCTGTCTGCTGGCAGAGGGCCCGGGAAAGGGGAGGAGTTCCAGGAGGAAATGCCAGGGAATCCTGGGCAGAGGCCTGCAGGAGGCTTGGCCACAGGGGGATTCCCCAGGAGGACAGACTGGAATGGCAGCCAGGCCTCCACACCCAGCAGGTGGCAGGTGGGGCCACAGGACGGCAGGGACGGTTTGGGAAGTGTCAATAAGTCAAAGGCCAAACCCAGGCGAGCAGGATCACACACAGAGGAGCATCTGAACCCCTCCGGCCCCCCAGGCCCTTGAGGCCCAGCTCTCTGGCAGGCCGCCATTTGAAAGGGGCACCGGGCCCAGGGCAGGGGATTCCTTCAGCGAGTCTGGCCCAGTCCCAGGATCCTGAGAATGAAGTATTCCATGAAGCCAGTGATACCCCTGCAGGGGTGTGCCATGCCCCTGGCCAGCCCAGCAGGCTGCACCATGGTCCCAGGAGTCCTGGGCCTCAGGTTCCTCTGCTGAGAACTCCCTAGGATCTTGTGTTTCTTGGCCTGCCTGGTCCCTCAGTTGTGCAGTTGCTGGGTGTGTGTGGCGGGTGACAGCTGGGGAGGCTGCAGTGGGACACAGGGCAGCTCTGGGACTGGGGGCTCTGGCTCTTGTTGAACCCCACCCCCCCGTGGGCTGGCCCCCTCAGCCTCCCAAGTACCAACCCTGCCTGGGTCCCCACTTTCAAGAGCAGGAGTGAGGACGTTAGCGTCACGAGGGATCTGATATAACTCTTCCAGCATCCAGAGGGGGTACAGCACAGAGCTGGCACTCCATAAGTGGGTGTGGACTGACTGATACGTGTGTGCATGCACACAGATGGGCTTGTATGCATATGTGCATCACACACACAGGCATGTGTCTGCAACGTGTACATGTGCACGTGTATGTGTCACTGGCATTGGGGTGTGCATGTTTATGAGTGCATGGTGGCAGTGCACACTGATGGGGGTGTGCACACAGTGGCTGCCTGGGTGAACCATGTATGTGCACTCACGCCTGCTGGTCCGGAGGTGGATATGGGCATGGACTTGGAAGGGTGGGTGAGTATTCACTCAGGAGGGGACGCAGCAGCAGGCTCTGGGGGTGTGCCTGCATGGGTGCACCTGGGGGTGTGTGCATGCCCCAGGCCGGGACACAGCAGGGGTCTGGGCAGCCCTCACTGCCAGCTGGCACAGCTCTCGGGCAGGCTGTGAAGGATGGCCTCCAAGTTCTGCTTGTCGGCGCGGATCTCAGCAAGGTTGCTCTCGAAGCTCTGGATTTGCAGCTCCTGCTGCTCGGACTCCTGCTCTAGCAGCCTCAGTTTCCCCTGCAGGGTCCCCGGCGGGCCCAGCTGCAGCCTCAGGCGCTCCAGTGCCCGCTGGGTCTCGTTCAGGGCCCGGGCTGGGGCTTGATGGGTGTCCAGCGACCCTGCAGAAGGGCACAGACAGCCTCAGTGTGGGTCAGCTCCCCTGCAGGGCCCAGGAGCCTGTTCAGCCCCCATCCCCGAGACCCTTCCCAGCCCAAATCTTTCAGAATTCCGACTGCCTGCCATCTACAAGGGAAAGTGAGGGACCAAGAGGGCAGTGGGTGAGGCAGGTGAGAGCCTGGTCTGGGCACCCCACTGGGCTCATGTGCAGATGCTGGAACTTTCCTCCTGGGTGGCACTGGGCAACGGTTAATCTTTGTCGTTGGTATTACTATTATTGTGAAAAGAGAAGGCTTCGGGTGAGTCTGAGCGCCAGCTTCCTCATCTATAAAGCAGTGTGTGTGCACGAGGTCCCCATGAGGCCTGCTGGCTCCCACACGCCGCATCGGTCCACCAAGAGCACACATATTCACAGACACCACTTGTGCTGGGATGTGGAAGGAGGTGGGGCTAAAAGGGTTTCTGGCTTCAGATTGAGGACTGAGAAGGCGGACAGGACAGGAAGAGCTGCAGGCCTGGGTATGGGGCAGCGGGAGTCTAGTCCTGGCCCTGCACAGATTAGCTCTATTTCTTGGGGTTGAGAACTTCCTGAGCACCCCCAAGTGTGAAACAACAGGGTGGGGCAGGTGCTCATATCGAACTTGGTGATGGTGATGATGGCATGGAATCCACAGGCTGCCTCCCCAACTTGGCCTTGTCATCAGGGGGATGTTCAATAGGAAGACAGGGCTCAGCCACTGGGGTGAGTGGGGGTGGGGATGGGAAGTAAATCCTGAATGGCTTCTAATCCCACAGTCTCCCTCTGGGCCCCAGGGCTCCTCACGGCCCTGAATTTCCTGGGCAGTGAAGGCTGAGCTGGAGCTGGGGCAGGGAGAGGCAGAGGGGAGCTGAGCCCCGCTGCCTCGGCAGGTCCCGCTCTCAGCAAAGACCTCGAGAGGCCCCACCGTCCACAGTGAAGTCCAAGCAGCCTGGCCTTTGAGGAGATTCGGAATCGAGTTACAGCCTCCACTCTACCTGCCCAGCTGGGGCTCCCAGGTGGGGAGGTAGGGCCAGGCGTGTGTTGCTCACTCTTGCCTCCCCAGTTCAAGCACAGTGCCAGCATGAATGAATGAATGACAATGACAACAGCCAGAGCGGTTTACTCTTGTGGAGCATTTGTTCTGTGCCCAGTGCTCCGAGTCCTCGGCATCGGGTACAGACTAGTGGTTACGAGCGGGCACTCTGAATCAGTTAGACCAAGTGTGAACCACAGCTCCCTCCCTGCCTGGCTGTGGGACCCTGGGCACATCTCTTAAACTCTCTGTGCCTCAGTTTCTTTGTCTGCAAAATGGCAAGAGAGTAAGTGTCCTTGCCTCAAAAGCTTAGCGTGAGAATTCTATCAGATCACGTGTATGAATAGCTTAGCATGGGCCTGGCCTCCAGACCAGATGCAGAACATGATGAGTCTTCCCTTCTTCTTAAGAATGAAAACTGAAAATGCATGCTGTTAGGTGGATGAACCTTGAAGCCATTACACTAAGTGAAAGAAGCCAGTCACAAAAGGACAAATACTCTATGATTCCTCTTATATGAGGGGCCTGGAGTACCAAATTCACAGAGACAGAAAGGAGAATGGTGGTTCCCAGAGGCTGAGGGTGGGGAATTTCCTATTCCCCACCCATGTTTAATGGGTACAGAGTTTCAGTCTGGGATTATTTAAAACATTCTGGAAATGTGATGGTTGCACAACAATATGAATGTACTTAATGCTACCAAACTGTACATTAAAAATGGTTAAAATGGCAAATTTTATGTATATTTTACCACAGTTTTAAAAAACGCATGTTGTTCATTTTAGCACAGCTGCTCTGGTACTGTCCCCCCCTTCCCTGCCTGAGGCCTCCATGCCTTATGGGTGCTGCCCCTTCATCTGAAACATTTCCTGGCTAAGGCTCATCTTGAATTCCACCTCCTCCCTCAGAACCACCATTCACTGATTCTCACCACATAACTAGTGTCACAGGGCGGCAAGCCCTTTCTGAATTACCCCACTGGTACTCCCACTTTACAGATGGGGGAACTGAGGCTCAGAGAGCTGGGGTGATTTTCCCAAGGTCTCATAGCCAAGGAAGGGAATGCCAGACTTGAGTCTTGGTCCATCTGATTCCAAACCAGCACCTGATCCTCGACGCCGCACTTGCTCCTGTGATTCTCTCTGATACTCTCTCTCTGATATTCTCTCTCTGATATTCTCTCTCCTGAACCGCTGAGGGCTGGGCTGCTCTTCTGGTGCCTACAGGCGTCCCGTACGGGGTCTCCCTCCCCCCCAGACTAGAGGCCGCTGGAGACACAAAGTGAACTCACTTCTGGACACCAACCCTGCCCCGCACAGGGGCCTGGAGCAATTACAAATTGACCACAAGGCTGGGGATGGGGGAGGCCGCGCAGATGAGGGCAAGGAGGAAATTTCCCCAGGACTGGTCCTCACAGGGAGATCCCAGAGAAGCCCCAGAGACCCAGGGGGTCGAGGCCCAGCCTCGGGGTCCCGTTACCCAGCCTGTCAAGCAGCTCCGACAAGGCCTGGATGTCCTTCTCCAGGGAGATGCGCGATTCCCGGATCTGTAGCTCCATCTTGCTCAGCCCGGCACCCACCTTGGGGCGAGGGAGGGAGGAAAAGCTTGAGTGGCTCCCCGCTGCCGCCCAGGGCCAGGAGGAAATGGGGTGGGGGCCTCGGCACACGTACCGGCTCAGCTCCCTCCAGCTCCTGTCTGCGTGCCCCCAAGGCTAGCACCTGGCGGGAGGCCTGTCGCAGCGTCACCTGGGTCTGGCTGGACAGCCGGCCAGCACGGCGGTATTCCTGCTTCACCTCCCTCAGCAAGGTCTTGGTGAGCTGCGGGGTGGGCAGCCGCCACAGGGAGAAGAGGGTGAGTGGAGAGAGTCCTTTTAGAGGTAAAGAGCACTTACGGCAGTAATGCCAAGCAGTCACTTTGTGCACCAGATCATTCATTCATTCATTCGACAAACATGTATTGGGTACTGGTTAGGTGCAACAAAGCCACGAGAGCTGGGAAGACGCACATTGATTAGAATTTAGCCCCAATTAAAAAAGAAAAGCCTAGAGGTTTAGGAAGTAAGGCCAAGCAGACCCAGGTGTTAGTCCTGGTCATGTGATTTAAGTTACTGAACCAGGCTGGGCCTCAGGGTCCTCGCCACTCCCATGGGGACAGCAATGACATCTACTTCTTGAGGAATCCACAGGGTCACCCACGTGAAGCTCCAGAGCTCAGAGCCCGGGACCCGCTGAGCCCTCAGTAAGTGCTGAGTATTCAGCACTGCACACAGGGCAGGGGCGGGTCTGCAGGGGCAGCGTCTACCCTGCAGAAGGGCAGCTCTTATGTGACAGTCCTCCCACAGGCCCAGAAGGCAGGGACGCCGCTGTCTTCACATCCGTGGCCCTAACCTTGGCACCGTCCTTGGCCAACAGCTCGGCTTCCCTGCCCTTCTTCTTGGCGCTGGAGGAGACAGACGCCGCGTTTCCCAGCATCCTCTCCGCCTGCTTGGTTTTCTTTCTCGAGTCTGCAAGAATCTTGTCCCGGACGATGCCTGCCTTCCTCATCAGCGCGGCCTGGTCCTCCGGCAGAGGAAACCGCGGCTTCATTCCTGCAAACCCGGCGGAGGCCGTGTCAGGAGGGCGCGGCTCAAGCATCGAGAGCCTGCCAGGCGGTCACTGCCAGATGCCTGACCAGCCCCAGACCCTCAGACAACGTGAGTGGAGGTTCGAGATGTGTGAGATCCGTGTGTAACCGTCTTGGGCTTAGCCAAGGAGGAAGAAAAAAGAGTGAGACACACTGCTCAGTGAATTTAAAGATTCATATTATATTATGATAATAATTATTAAAGTCACAAATTACATGGTGGTCAATGCCTGGGCCAGTGGGGGGGATGGGGAGCCGCAGTACAGTACGTGGCAAAATCCATTCAGCTCTTTATTTCTAGGTACCACTTATTTCTAAAAAGGCTCTGAGGCAGCTTATAGTGACAGATAAAACAATTCGACCATTAAAATGAAAAACCAAGAGCCATATGTAACTAGGGGATTGAGGAAGGCAAGAGGAAGAGTGAAAAGTACCAGAAAATTAGGATAAGGACATCGTAGGTACCAAATGCTCTATTTACCTCTGAGCTTCCTAGCAGCCGAGACAAAAAGGGAAATACTACAATTCACATAGGTTTTATTATCTAATAAGAAGTAGTTTTCCTCTTTAAAGAAGAGAGAGACACTTCTTCCTTTCCTTTCAGATAAAATTCTAAGTCAAATTTTAAAAAGAATCAAGCCTTCTAATCTTTGGGGGCAACAACATAATTGTTCTATGAAGATAATCCAGAAATTAGATCTCCTCTACTTCTTGTACACAAAATTGGTGTTTCTTAACGTGTACTCTATGGAGTCCTAATTCTACAGAGTGTTAATAAATATCAGGGGAAATGTCAATTAAGTTTAAATAAAGTGAACCAGGTTTCTTTATTGCAGGGCTTCTCAGGGCCTTTAATCTTCTAAGGTGTGCACTGTAAGGCCTCAGAAGTGCTATAGCTGTGACATTTCCTAACCTTATTTGAACACAAACCCTCTCTTGGCAGAGTGCATCACAGGCTAGGGGACCCCGGGCAACATCCTGGGGAAGGCTGCTCCGCATTTCATTCAGCGAATTTTCCTTTCATTCTGAATACCAACTGAACACAGGCCAACTGGCGGTAAGAGAGGGTGTCTCTGAAAAGGGGTGAGAACAGGGAAAAGAGCCTGGGGCTAGAGGATTGAGGTGAGTCCTCGTGTGGATTATGGCACAGCAACAGGGAGGCAACTCTCCGTCCAGGACCGCAAGAACTTTCTCATTCTCAGAACTACCCAACAATGAGAAGGTAACACAGTGAGGTAGTGAGCATGCCATCCCTGGAGGTAGGCAAGCTGAGGGTGGATGAGCACCCCGCCTGGTGAGAGGGTGGCAGTAGATGACTTTAAGACCCCCTTATAATTCTAATGCTCTAGAATCCTAATATGCCATCATTCTATATCATGGAATTTATGTTTTCCTAAACACAAATCAGAGACAAGCACACACAGCCACACCTTCCCCATTGGAAGTCCCCTAACCAATAGGTGACCAGGACTTCAGACCACAGGAACCTGGAGAACAGGAGCACTGATTGCTCACTCTCTGCCCCAGAGGGTTTGGGTCCACGGCTGGAGCTACCTCTCTCACAGGCAGCGGGCAGGGCTGGGAGGGAAGCCACAGACCCTACCAAGACGACGGCAGAGCCTGGCTTCTGGCCTCGGACCCCAAGAGGCACGTGTTCTTGCCTTATCCAGCTCGTCGGAACACAGCCACAAATAAAGGGCTGGGGGCTTCTCTCCGAAGCAAAGAGGACACCCCAGAAGCCCATACGCAGGGGGACACCGAGGTGAAGAATCGTAATACAGCTGGTTTCTAGTCAGCTCAGCTCTGACCCAGGGACAGGCACCACTTCCTCGGTCCACCCATCTGTAAAAGGGGAGCTCTTACCCTCATTTTCCTAAAGCTCAAAACAGACCCGGACTGGCATCAACCCACACCCTCCTAAAGAGAAGCTCCGTGTCCCTTCTCGTAGGCTCAGCTGAACACTGAGACAGATGAGGCAGACCACGGCTGCCATATTTGTACAGGTAACTGGATGCCCAGCCAGAGGAGACTAGACCAGGTGCACAGTCCGTGGCATCAGACTCTCCCCATCTGGTCGTGAGGGGCTCTGCATGGGTCTGATGATGGACGGCCACAGGGGAGAGTACCCGGTGAGTGGTATGTGAACGGGAGAGGCCACAGCCACGGGAGAGGGCCTGACTGGAGGGAAAGGGCTGCCTGGCTTATGCCCACATGCCTGGACTCCTGTCCCCTGCAGCCAAGCTGCCCTGGCAGAGGCGAGAGCCTGGGTGGCTGTCACAGGCATTTGGGCATCGACGAGCCTGGGGCTCAGCAGGGCACGCATACCTTCCAGGTCAGCCAGGAGGGTCCTAGCTCCCATGACAGTCACTGTGGCAGCCTGGACGGATGAGGAAGCCCGGGTCAGGGCGGCTCTGGCCTCCTGGTGCAGCTGGAGAGAGGGGAAGAGAGAGAGGCTGGGCAGTCGGCCCCACAGGTGGGAGCGCTGGAGGGATGGAAAGAACCACTTCTGGTCTTCTCTCCCGCAACCCCTGACCCCAGATCACCCTGGGGCAGCCCCGACCTCCTCCAGGCGCCCGCCTCAAAGGGCAAGAGCCCACCTGCGTGAGGGGCTCCGCCTTGCGCAGCACGGCCTGGGCGGTGGCCTGGAGGGCCCGGGCAGCCTCGGTGACCATGCGCTCTCTCGATGCGACTGTCGCTTCCAGAGCCTGCCCCTTCAGGTCCAGGTCCCCGGCCCGGGACTTCGGAGGCTGCGGGGAGATGGAGGGCTTAGGCAGCGCCTGGCAGGACTGTCAGAGGGGCAGAGCCTCACTGGGTGAGAGGCGCCAGGGGCAGGGACAGGGATGGTCGGGCTGCAGGTGGACCCGGGCAGCAGAGTGGCCAGGGCGAGAGCCGCCAGCCTGGGGACTGTCTCTCGGGGCTCGGATTCCAGCCCCACCAATCTCTGGGAGCTCGGTCTTGGGCAACTCGGCTAACCTCCCTGACCTGCATTCCTTCCCAGGTCCACAGTCCCTGTGCTGAAACCTCGGGCCGGATGTACTTCCACGTTCAGAATTTTCCAGACTTCAGAGAAGCAGTATGGTGCAGGTACTGTACATTATCTGACACCTTCGGGGGACCTGGGGCAGCACTCAAGGCCACACACGATACTACCTGCATATTATACACCCAGGGGGAAAAGCAAAGACCCTGGAGAAGCAGCCTGGGGCATCAGTCCCCATCAGGTTTTGCCCCAAATGCATTTGCATAAGCTTAGTTTTGTTTTGTTTTGTTTTTTGCTAAGGAAGATTCGCCCTGAGCTAACATCTGTGCCAATCTTCCTCTATTTTGTATGTGGGACGCCGCCCCAGCACGGCCACCGTGGAGCGGTATAGGTCCACACCCGGGAACCGAACCCACGCTGCCGAAGTGGAGCACACCGAACTTCACCACTAGGCCACCAGGCTGGCCCTGGTCTTTTTTTTTTTAATTCAGTTTCTGAGTTTTGGGATTTCAGGATTACTGCAAAGACACGATGGAGCTGATTTATCTGGAGGTGATGGGCGCAGGGCGGCAGGCACAGAGGGGACGAGGGCCGACAAGCAGTGAGGCCACCTTGTGCCTTCCTCACGAATCCACCCCCCAAACCCCCCATGGACGCAGCCCTATAATAACCTAATGGGCGAGCTCCACCCGACAGAGGAAGTAACCGAGGCACAGGGAGGGAAAGACCCAGGCCAAGGCCACAGCTGGAGCTCCAGAGCTGGGATCCCACGTCTGTCTGGTGCCACTGCTGATGCCACCACGCTGGAGAAGAGGCCCCGCCCTCAATATTATTATTATAATCAACAACAAAGATTGGCTGAGCTCTAACTCTGCCAGGCAGGCGCTCTGCCATTCCCTGGAGGTGGGTTATCTCGTTTTCATCAACCGTTATACAGTTGAAAACAAGCCACGTCATCTGCCTCTGCCCGGGCTGCACTGGTCTCCCAGCTGCCACACTCTCCCCCACCCCCGCCCCGCGCAGAGCTCCGAGGACGGCCGCGCTGACCAGTGCCGCAGGGAGAGCCAGCGAGGCCGGGCGCAGGGCTGCGTCTGTGCCGACTTGCTGCACGGCGGCCAGTACCCTCTCAGCTTCGGGCAGCACCTCTGCCACAGCCGTGCCCAGCTCCTTCTGGGCCGCCTGCACCTCCTGGTACCTGAGAGGAGACAGAGGCGGGATGGCCCTCGGAGCAGGGCACAGAGCCATCCTTCCGAATCACTGTCCCAGCCCCCAGCTGGAGCCCCCGAGTTTTGACGGCCTCCCCCAACTTCCTGGGCAGAGCCGCCCTCTGTGGGGTCAGGACCCAGCAGCTGGCCGCCACTCCGCAGCTGTGACATGAATGCAAAGGCAGTAGAGGGACCACATTCTTGTTTCTTCATTCGCTCAGTCCAATCATGCTTTTCTGAAAGGGCTGGCGCTTGGTTTCCACTCAAGAATCACACGTTTTGCAAATATTTGGCTCCTCTGGATGAATCATGAAGAGGAAATGCCTGGTGTTGGGGAAAGGCCAGTGGCCCAGACTCAGTCTTGGCTTAGCTGTGCCCTTGGGTGACCTTGGGCTTGTTGTTCTACAGGGAAATGGAGACCCCTGGGCTGCACGATGGCTCTGGGCCCTTAAGCCCCAAGGTGCTACAATCAACCAACTAGAGCAGCTTTCCTGTGCTGTCTAGCTGTCCACACCCGCCCCACCCAGCTTCCCCCACCACAGGCCAGGCGGGGGTAGAGACCCTCCCCCGGCTCTCTCCTATCCCTTACCCCTTCTCAGAGAGCCAGCGCCCCACCCCTGAGAGTGGGCCATGTCACTTCACCCCATCCATGCTGACTGGCTCAGGGCTGGCCACCTGATCCGAACTGGGCCAAAGTCTCTCATTTAGGAAGTCAACTTGGGGTTCAGTAAGGTGTTGGTGGGTCTCCATTGACCCTTTGACCAAGAGGGATATAAGGGGGTCACCCAGAGCAGAGAAGCAGAGGCCAAGAAGGCAGCTGGTGCCCCAGTGGTGCTGCCCGGGAACCTGGGATGAGGCTGGGGGACGCTGCAGGGGGACAGGCAGATGCTGCCCTGAGCCCCGCTTGTTCAGGTTCTCGTCCCTTCTCTCAAGAGGCTTAGCTGCACCCCCAGGCAGGAGTGGGTTCCTGTAACTCACCACCAAGCGGGCCCAAGACCCCAGACATCTCACCCCGCTCCAAAGACCGTCAGGACTCAGGGGAAGGAAGCGGGTTCTGGAACCAGCAGCCTCTGGTCGGGCTCCTTTGGCTCCAGGAGGCCAACCTGAGCTCCTACCCACACCTGGGAGGTCTCACCTGTCCTCCAGCTCCTGCTGGGCCTCCAGGGCCTCTCTGCCCTCCAGCAGACTCCAGAGAAGCACATAACTGGTGTTGGAGGCAAGCAGGGCCCTCCGAGCAGTGGCCTCGATCTTGGCAGCGGTGGCCCTGTGGCTGCACAAAAATACCCACCCAACCATCACCAAGAGCTCACACAGCAAGAGACCTGGGCCCAAAGCCACTGTGTGGTCTCCCACCGTCCCAAATAGAGAACAGCCATAGGGCCAGGCTCTCTGCCTAACACACAGTGAAGACTGATGGAAAGGGGACCGATGGCCCTGTTCCTGCGATATACAGTTTATGCCTGTTGTTCTGGCATAATGATTAATAGGGCCTCTTATCACAGATAAAATCCCAGTTTGGACAATAAATTATATGGTGACCCTAATAAAGACAGCACAGAAGAGAAACAGTTAAGACCACCTGGGTATGAATCTTGGCTTTATCACTTCCAAGCTGTGTATCCTTAAGAAAATCATTTAACTTCTCTGAATCTGTTTTCTCATCTGTAAAATGGGTCTAAAGCCCCTGGCGTATAGGTAAAGAGGAAAATCGCTGCAGATCCTGTGTTTTTAGGATCATAAGCTGCTTCTTAAAGGCAGTGGATAAAACAACCCAAAAGTCTATCAACGGATGAACGGATAAACAAAATGTGGCATATCCATACAATGGAATATTATTTGGTCGTAAAAAGGAATGAAGTACTGATACGTGCTGTCACGTGGATGAACCTTGAAGACATTACGCTAAGTGAAAGAAGCCAGACACAAAAGACCACATAGTGTATGATCCCATTTAGATGAAATGTCCAGAACAGGCAAATCTATAGAGACAGAAAGTAGGTTGAGGGTTGCCAGGGGCTGGGGAGGAGGAAGAGAAATGGGGAGTGATGCCTAATGGGTACAAGGTTTGTTTTTGGGATGACGAAATGTTCTAAAACTGACTGTGAAGACAGTGAATATAGTGAAACTATATTCACTATATTCAACTCCGTGAATACAGTGAAAACCGCTGAATTGTACACTGTAAATGGGTGCCTTGCATGGTACGTGAACTATATCTCAATAAAGCTATTATAAAAAAGCCAGTGGCTGCTCTCAGATGCCTTCAGTTGACCAAGCTCTGCAGCCCCCCACCCCCAGCAGCTCTGGGCTCATGCTGCCCTTCACACCTCTCCTTCCCATGGTGGTGACATTCTTCCCCTATCAGGCAGCTCTTGTACTCATCTGATTCCAGCTCCTGGGGTGGGGATACCTGTAGGGCTGACCCTGGAAGCCCCAGGAGAAGGGTGGGCTCCCTTCATGATGGTGTGGGCAGGACCTCACCACGCTCCCGGGGACTGGGGGCTCACCTCCTGGCGAGGGCACGGGCCTCTGTGGCCAGGTGGCTCCAGTTGGTGGGCTGGCCAGGCCCTTCTTGAGGGACCACCTTTACAGAAAAGAGGGAAAGAGGAGAAAACTGATTGCCCATCCCCAAAGGGCTAGGGCCCCATCTAGCTAAATTATTGGGCAGAGCTGGACAGGGCCAGTTATTTTATAAATGCTCAGAGCTAACCACAAAGTCAGCATCCAGTGAGCGGAATCCCCAAATGTGGAAATAACAGTCATGATGCCTACCACTTGCTGGGCAGTCACTGTCCAGCATGCCTTGTTCTTTGCAAATGTTATCTCACTGAATCAGCAGAGGAGGCACGGTGTGACCCCCATTTTGCCAATGAGGAAACTGAGTGTCCCAGAGGAGGAAGGGGCATGCCTAAGGTCTCCAGGTCAACAGCACTGAGCCCAGGCTCAGCGGCGGGAAGGGGGTCCCTGGGGTACCAGAGACGCAAGGACGGTGGCTGCGTGCAGAATCTCCTCTTCCGAGGTCTCCAGCGCTGCCTCTAGGTCTGCCAGCTGGATGCAGGTCTTCTCAGCCCCAGCCTGGGCACAGTGTACATTCCTGCTCAGCACCCGCAGCTGCTCCCGGGCAGCCTTCACAGCAACCTCAAGGCCTGTCACCCGCTCCACAAAGGCCCCTGCAGAAAGCCCGCAGTCCAGGGGGTCACAGAGTGAAAAGATTTCACACTAAAGCTCCCACCCTCAGCGGTCCCCATTGGTGCCCTCCACTTTTCCTGGGCACAAGTGAACTCCATCACCAGGCCTGAGCTCCAAAGGAAGAGCTTCCCCTTTCTACCATCCAAAGGCTGAGGCCCAGAGAGGGCAAATCATGACCCACGGTCCTACACACAGGAAGTCAGCCACAGATGACAGACTGGAAGGAACCCAGGCCTTCCAGAGCCACGACAAGCAATTCCCGAATCTGAGACAGCAGTAACACTCCGCCTCAAGCCAGCTCTGTAATTCTCAGCGTGGCTCATTATGGGTGCTTTAACAGGCAGCATCCGATAGCTCTCTATTTCAATAACTAGTCTTGCTAACAGGTGCTCAGCTCACCTATGTCTGGCTGCTAAAGGCTGCTCATAAACATGAAATTTCACAAAATTATAAATTCGCTTTCAGTGATCCCTAAATTTCAGTGTTCCAGGGCCCAGTTCCACCTGGCTTTAGTCAAAGTGTTCTTTTTTCTTATTTACTCATTTATTTTCTATGCCGGGTATGTGACAGTGAGCCAAACGGCCAACAGTCAAGACAACAGGAACTTGACCTGTTCAGCACCTGGGACAGCACTGTGATGACTACTGGTTGAGTGAGTGAATAAATGAATGAACGTAGCCCCATCCTTCCTGAGCTCACAGGCTGGGTGGGCAGGGGCGTGGGTACAGATGCTACAGTCAGAGATGGATACTAATAAAGTTACAAAGTACAACTGGGCCAGGAACACTGGAGGAGGGGTCCATGGGGCAACTGGACTCCATCCTGGAAGAAGCCCACCTCATCAGCGAGGCCAGCAGGCTCTCCCAGCAAGCGGGTTCTCCTGGGGCCGAGCCTGGAGCCCTCAAAGCTGAGACCAGACTGAAGGGCTCCAAAGGGGGCATCGGACCAGCCAGCCCTCCCCTTGCCTCCCGGTCTCCTGCTGCACCTTGCAGCAGGTGGTGGCTCTGGTAGACATCCCCCCGTGGAGCCTCTCCCTGTAGAATGTCCAGTGGTCCCCAGGGTATGCCACAGTCAGACCCCTGCAGCCACCCCTCCATCAGGGTCAGCGTGGTCTTCAGCTTGGCAACCTGGAGGGGACAGAGATGGAAGGGTGTGTGAGGCTGGCAGCCTGGAAGCTGTGCCAGGACACCTCCCCCTGGCGTCTGCCTGGCCTGCCATCCCCAAGGGTACCCTTCTCCAAATCCTACCCTGGACCTCAAAGCTAAAGACACATCACACCTCTGAGAACCAGCCCTGCCCAACCCTCCGTCATAGCTGTCCCTTCCCTCTCACAGCCACGGCACCTGCCGGCATTCAGCCAACCACACCCCTGTCCTACGGAGGGAGGGAGGGAAGGGGGAAGAAGCCCCAGGAGGATCTGTCTGTCCTGTTCGCTGTCTTTCCAGGACTTGGCACAGAGCAGGCGCGCCCTGGAGACCTGCTGACTGCGTGAGTGTGCTGTGCAGCGTCTCCTCTCATCATATTGTTCTTTCCATCACGTGAACAGCAACTGCATTTATACAGCACTTGCCACGAGCAACCTCCAGCCCCGCACCAGCTCATGTTCACCTTGTAACCACCCTAAGGGGCAGGGGCCACGGGTCCCAAGCCTTCTCCTGGATTCCAAAGTCCAAAATACCACAAGGCTTTCCATTCCTTGTTTGATGGCAAACTCAGGTTCAAAAAACCCTGAGTTCATTTGGAAGCAAAACTGTTTGGAACAAGGCTACTTGTGGTCTTTATTTACCCCGCAGTGTGAATATTCATCTGTTTTCCTGCAGATATATCAACGGGTTTGATGACGGGGGCTGGTCCAGGCGTCCCGGGGGCGGGGGGTACCTGATATTCGGCATATGCCAGCTTATCTTTCTACAGTACCATGATTCCGAAAGCTGGCCTCACTGGTTTCAGGTAAGAGGTTGCAGGCTTGAATCATCTCCATTTTGGAGCAGGAGAGACGCTTACCAAGGCTGCGTGGGCGCGTGACAACTAATGAGACTAGGGGGAGAGGAACCCCAGAGTTCATGGTCCTTACTCGTACACCTGCCACCTCCTTGCTGGAAATTCTACTTGTGCGCCAGAATGGGCAGCGCCCTCCTCCGGACCCTCCCCACGAAAGGCCATCTATGGTATCATCCTCATTGAACTTGAGAAAGTATGAGACCTCAGCCTGGGTGGTGGGGAAGGACACGTGGTGATAGCCACTTTTCTCCCGTCCACTCAAGAGTGAGGAAGGGCAGAGGTGAGGGTTGAGCCGCGTTGGTACAGACCAGACAGCTTGGTGGGCACAGGGAGAAGGCGGCCTGTGAGCCCGGAAGGCTTGAGAACTGTGGATGAGTGGGCATTTCCTGGTGCCTGGCACAGAGCAGGCACTCACTGGGAGCATGGAATGGACGGGAAGATGGAACGGGCCTGGACGGGGCCCGGACGGGGTGGGCTCACCTCCTCCTGCACCAGGGCGTAACAGGACGGGCACTCCTGGCAGTGTGTCCCGCCAGCCGTGAGGAAGAAGTTGTCCTGGCAGCGGTCACACTTGTAGCCCACGAAGCCGGGCCTGCACACACAGGTGCTGTTCTCGTGGCACTGGGCCGAGGCGGCGCCCAGCGGGGAGCACCTGCATGCTGGAGGGGCCAGGGCAGGCGTCGCCAGGTGCTCTGATGGCCACCCCACAGCAGAACCCCCAGGCCCCCTGCGTCCTCACACCTGGCTGCTCCGGACCCCCCTGGGCAGCCTCAACTACATTCCTGTGTCCCTCCCAGGAGATTCTGATTCAGGTCACAGGTGATGACGACAGCCTGACTTATTTCAGTGTCCCCATGATCTGAGGACCAGCCAGTCCAACCTCACAAATGAGGAAACTGAGGCCCAGAGAGGTGACAGGATGGCCCCAAGCACACAGGAATTTAGCAGTGGAGCCTGGGACTAGGTTCTTGGCCACTCTTCCAAGGCCTCGGACCCCTGCGCCATCCTCTGCTCACTCACTCCACTTTTGAATGGCTGCTCTTAGAAGACCAGCCCTGCATCTGACTTTTCTCTCTCCTGCTGCAAGATCGTCTTCCTCTTTGCCCAGAAACCTCAGGCCCTACCCTCCGGGCAGCCCAGGAAGGACCTGGCTTCCTCACCCCGGCAGCCCTTGATGGAGAAGCCAAAGAATCCCAGCTGGCATCTGTCGCAGGCCTGGCCCTCGATGCCTGGGCGACAGGGGCACTGCCCAGTCTCAGGGTGGCACTGGTCCTCCTGGGAACCCAGCGGGTGGCACTTGCAACTGCGATGAGCGAAGGAACCGGGTCTGAGACAAGCTCTGGGCTGCTCCCAGCCTGGCCTCTGCTGGCTGCAGCTGGTGAGGGGCCTTCCTATCACGCCCTCTGCTGACAAGGCCCCAGCTCCATGTCAGTGCATGCCAAACAGCCTCCCCCAAGCTATGCCCCGGGAAGCACAGCCTCACAAAATGGTCCCTCCAAGAGAAAGGCTATGGGGACATACACATCCTGGAGACTATACCCCTCTGCTGGAAAGTCACAGTACAATTAGCATATTAAAGGCTCTGAGAAGGCTCGCAAGGAATAAACCTGTTGCTTCACTGGGCATTTCCCTGGGGTCCTCCACTGTTCCCTAAAGATGTTGTCTAAGGTGCTGCTGTGGCCAAAAGGTCACCAAGTGACGGGGTCACTGAGAAGGGAATCAGAAACCAAACCGGCCCCCTGCCCAACCCCTTAGGGCTGCTCTTGGCCTGCGTCCTGGGCTGGCAGGGCCTGAGTCTGACTTCCAGGGGACCGTGCCTTTGTCCCCCTTTGGTGCAGGGCACGGTGTACCTGGCAGTAGGCCGGGGATGACACATTCCAAGCCAGGCCCCCCTCTGGAGGCTCCCTGGTGCCTTCTTCCATCCTGGAGAGACACCCAGGGGAAGGGCACCCACTGCCTCACCCCACCCACCTCCGGCAGCCCCTCCCAGGCTGGAGGTCGTAGAAGCCGGGGCTGCAGTGGCCACAGTCCCGTCTGGTCACATGAGGCAGGCAGGAGCACTGGCCGGTCACTGGGTCGCAGGGTCTCAGCTCATTGACTGAGCCCCCCGGGTTGCAGCTGCAGGCTGGGGGTGGGAACAGGAAAGAGTGTTGGAGAACCACACAGGTCAAGCTTTGGGTGTCCAGGAGAGGCAGAGAAGATGGGGAGCCCATGGAGATGACTCACATTCAGCCCAGACTCCTAAGCTGTTTCTGGAAAAGGCTTTAGGGCTGGGTTCCAATCTCAGCCCATTTTCTATATCCTTGGAGAGACAGCCTAGAATAGTTGTGGTGGCAGATGGCCCCTCCGAGCCCGCCCTGCACCCTCGCAGGCTGGAGAGAAGGCCAGAGATGTAGCCAGGGGGGCCAGAGGCGGGCCCTTGCACCACTGTTTTGGGTCACTTGACCTGCTCTCCTGCGCCCCATAAAACAGGAGGCTGGCAGAGGGCTGACAGGTGCTGCGTAGACAAAGGGCTCAGGAGTGAGTGAGTTTGGGCAAATGGGGAGCTCTTTCCTGTAGCAGCTCTGGAAGGCTTCCAAGGGCCGATGCATGTGGGGGCCCTCTGAGATGGGGACAGAGGGCTGAGTGTTAACCCAGGCAGTGAGGAGGCACAGCCCGATTGCAAGCCCAGGGGCAGGACGGAGAAGTGCCACAGGCCACCTGGGACAGTCTTATGTGCTAACTGTGGAGTGAGAGATAAGCGCTAAATTATCAAGGCAGGAAAAAACATCACAGGATCAGAGTTGGTAAGATCCCAAGGCTGAAGGAGACCTTGGAGAAGAGCAAACACTTACGCTTTCTGGACAAGGGACAGAGAAGGTGAGGGATCTGCCTAAGGCTGCACTGCCTTGCAGAGCGGCCAGCTGGGTCTGGTGGAGAAGGGGCCCACTGTGCCCCACCCCGAGGGTCCAGGAGGTGGGTACTCACGCACGCATTTGTCTGCGGGCCGAGGGGCCAGGGCGCTCCCATAGAAGCCTTCCTGACAGCGCTCACAGTGGGCACCTGTCGTGTTGTGCAGGCAACGCAGGCAGTGGCCAGAGAGGGGGTCACAGTTGCCCACGGCGTTGGGGTCTATATTCCCGCTGCACTGGCACTGCTGGCAGGGCTGGGGGGCCCCAGAGAGCCCCTGTGGGTCCCCGAAGAAGCCATCATCACAGATCTCACAGCGCCGCCCTGGAGAAGCGAGAAGGCTGTGTGTGAAGGAGCAGGCACGATGAACACAGCCTGCTAGGCCCACAGGGGGTGAGGGTGGGTGTGCACCAAAGCAAGGGTCCCCAGGTCTCCTTGTGGAGCAGAGCACGGGCTCCGGCCGGGTCAGGCCCACCTGGAGCCAGGGCTCGCCTGGGCCATCAGCTGGCTGTGTGATCATGGGCAAGCCACTGCACCTCTCTGAACTCGGGCTCCTTGTCTGCAAAGTGGGGACAATAATGGAAGCTACCAGAGGCGGCTGTCACCGTCTATTCATCATCATCACCCTCATCATCATGTCATCATCACCCTTCTCTTCACCATCGCCATTCTCTTCATCAGCATCTTGATCATCATCTTCATCATCATCATCCACCATTTTCATCATTATCGTCATCATCATCATCATCTCCATCATCTTGACCATTATCAATGGCATCATCTTGACCATCACTCTCTTCATCCTCATCATCTTGACCATCACTCCCTTCATCATCATCATCTTCATTGTCACCACCTTCACTGTTATTGTCACCTTCCTCCTCCTCTTCCTCTCCCTCGTAGCTGGGGCTGCTCTTTCACTTGTGGCTCCTGGCCCCTCTACCATTCCTGCCTCTCATGGTCTCTAAACTTCCTTTGGACTCACACCTGCTTCCTGGGTTTGAACTGGGGTTGCCTCCTCACGTCCCAGCCCTCAGGGCTGCTGTGAGTCTCAGAAAAGACGCTGTGTGAACAGGCTTTTGGAGGGTCGTGGCCTGGGAAGTCGAGTCTGGACACAGGTGTGGCATAAAGGAATGTAGTGCACCATGTGCTTCACGCAGTGTCAGCCTGTTCTTGGTGCACACCCAGCTCTCTGTGCGTATCTGCACGAAACAGACCACCAGGGGATCCACAGACCTGGACAGCAGCCATGGTCCCCCGTGGGGCAGGACGATGGGTGCATTGTCTTCTTGCTCTCACGCATTTTCACGTTCCTCTTTACACCTCTGCAGACGGTTTTGATTGTTACAATGAGTATGTACTTATTTTATAATTTAACAAATAGCTACCGTCCTTGTGAAAAATAGTTTGGGCTCCCTGTGTCCTCAAAGCTCATCGGTCCAGTTGAACTCAAGTTAATATCACTAAAGGCAGGCAACCTTGAAAATGGAGACCAGGAATACTAAGGGAGAAAAGGAAAAAGTGGAAAGAAGAGGAAAGAAAGGAAAAGACAAGTCTGAATGGAGTCCAGGGTGGAGGCCAGTGCTGGCTTTGGGGCCTCAAACAGAAACGCAGTAAGACAGGCGGGGAGGAGACGGAAGCCAGGCATGAAGAAGGTGGCCCCACGGTTAACCAGCCATTTGCGTGGAACCAGGTTAGGACAGCTCCCAGGGCAGAAGGCAGCTGGGAGGTCCCGGGAGGGCTGCTGAGGGGTTGCGACGGTGGGCAGGTAGGGATCAGGACTTGACCCCGGTCAGTCCCGACTAGATTGTCCAGGTGAGCTTTCTGCGTGCTGGGCTCGGGCAGGGCCGGACGATTCCAGTGTGATAAAGACGGGGCTGGCACAAGGCGCCAGGCCTAATATCTACCCCATGCATTCCTCCCAGGGTGGTCTCTCTGCACATAGCACTACCTGCTCCCCTGAAATCCTCCCTCTGGTCTCTCTCAGCCTGGGTCAGGCTGAACTTCTCTAACCGTCCACACTCTCACGGAGTGGGCTCCCTCGTGTCTGCACACCAGGGGAAGCCAAAGCCAGGAAGCCAGAAATGTGGGGAAGGTTATGGGAACGGAGAGGCAGCATGATGGCGGGGTGGGGTGCAGGGTCCTGAGATGGGACCTCGCTCCCTTGGTTCTTGGGTTCCCTGCTCTGGGGTGTCCCCCTAGCCCTGCTGGCTGCTGGCTGTCAGGGAGCTGCTGTCAGAGCAGTCCCAGCCAAGCAGACACTAGACAGGACCAGTGTAATGGGCTGTCCTGACGCAGCCACGGGTACCAAATGTAGAATCAGGTGTCTGGGAACCTGGGAAACAGGATGCTAAGTGAGACAAGCCAGACACACAAGGACAAATACTGTACGATTCCACTTACATGAGGCACTTGGAAGAGTCAGATTCAGAGAGACAGAAAGTAGAATGGTGGGTGCCAGGGGCTGGGGGCAGGGGGCACTACTAAACAATCATTTCATGGGGACAGAGTTTCTATCTGGGATGATAAAAAAGTTCTGTGGATGGATGGTGGTGATGGTTGCACAACACTGTGAATGTACTTAATGCCACTGAACTATACACCTCAAAATAGACAAAATGGCAAATTTTATGTTATGCATATTTTGCCACAACTTAAAAAAATTAATAACAGAATATACAAAAAAACTATTGAATTATATACTTTAAATGGGTGAATCATAGAGTATGTGAATAATACCTCAATAAAACTGTTTAAAAAGAGTCAGACATCTAGGACAGGCTGCAGTCCTGGGGTAGGGATGAGGAGCAGGAAAGGGCTGGGGACAGGGGCATTCCTGCTTCACACATTATCTGGTGACATTTTTTTAAAGCTGAAAGTTCAATGAGAGGTTTTCCACCTTAACTGTGTATCACAATCAGCCAGGGGACTTGTTAGGAATAAAGATTCCTGGGCTCCATCTCAAGCCACTAAGTTAGGCCCTAGAGAGCCAAGGCCTGGACACGGGGATTTTCAAAATCTCACCTGGATATGCTCAGCGGCCCAAGTTCTGCCAGGAACCCAGAGCAGCCCGCGGCCCTGGCTATGGGGCTACGCAGTGTCCCTCGAGGTCAGGCCTGCCACTCCTAAGCTGGGCCCGCCCTCCTCTGCCGCCCTCCAAACCCAGGACGCCACTCCTGGAGCCCAGGCAGAAGTGGGGCCCAGGGCACGAGCCACTCACCTCTCTGGCCCAGGGGGCAGTGGGTACACACCACCTCTGTGCTCTCTGGGATGGTCGTGCAGGCTGACTGGCCAGGGCATGGACAGGGCTGGCAGTCGTCGGCTTGGCCTGCGAAGGGGTTGCCATAGAAACCTGGCAAGCAGCGCTCACAGGATGGGCCCTCGGTGTGGTGGCCACACAGGCAGACCCCTGTGGGGCAAAACAAGCACCTGGTTACCACTGCCTGAGCCCAGAGCACTCCAGAGACAGCCGGCATCCTGGTGGTGGGGGTCACAGAGCAGAACTAGGGTGGGAACCTTCCATGACGGAGGCAGAACAGCCCAGGGATGAAGAGTCCACCCTGGGGTCACGTCCATCACCTACTGACCAGGTGAACCTGGGCCAACCATTTAACATTCCATGCCTCAGTGTCCTCACCTGCAAAATGGGCATAACAATGGCTCTGACCTCAAAGGGTTTTCGTCAGGATTCAACAAGACTATGCAGTCAATGTGTCTCTGGCACATAGCATTATTATTACTGTTGTCACTATTATTTTGTATTCCAAAACCTATAACTGAACCACCAGGCAACACAGCTGGGGTTTTCTCTGTTTTCCTTTTCCCCTTCCTGTGTGTCCTCTTAACTTCAGGGACCAAAAGTGAAATGGACACAGACCAGGATACACGTGGCTCCCCGTTTATGGGGTCTGTGGGTTCCCAGAGGCTGCCTGGTCTCACAGAATGGAGCCTCCCTTCTCCCACCCACTGGTTTCTCATGATGGGGGATTCTGTAAACCCCCTTCACCAGCCCCACAGCACCTGGAGTCTGCTCAGAGCCTGGCGTGCTGGGAAAGGGAGGCCCCACTGCCAGGGATTGAGTGAGGAGCCTGGCTGAGACGGGGTTAAGCAAGACCACTACTTCCGGGAGCTGGGCTGAGGTGAACAGGGGAAAGAGAGGGAAAGGGGGGTACCGTCACCCTGCTTTCCATTGTCCCTGCCTTGGCCCGGCACCCACATGCTCATCACTCCTCCTTCCACCCAGTGTGGGCAGCAGTGGCTGCTGTGCCCATTGACAGGCGAGGATTTGCCCAAACTGAGGAGGAAGTTGTGGCACGGCCAGGGGCTCTGAGGGATGACAAACTGGTCCCGCCTCATGAGACAACTCTGCTTCCTCAATAGGGCTTCCTGGAGCACTGCATGGAAGGACTATGAGGCCTCATCTGGGCTCGACTAGTGATGCCTGCCCTGGGCACAAGAAGGGGGGAGGCCCATGTTGCGTGTGCTTGCCCTCCCTGGCTAGTCTGCTGATTCCTGGGCTACTGTCCCTTGTCGGCTCCAGCATCAGGTCTGAGAAAAGCTCAGCAGGTGTTTTCCTTCTCAGAGACCCCACCTGCTCCAGGAGAGCAGCAGGGCACTGCCCCTCCCAATTCCTGTGTGACGCTTGTGGTGCGGGGTGGCTAGTGTCCAGCCCCGTCCAGCACCTCCTGGCTGCGTGACGCTGGGCAAGGTCTCTCTCTGGGTTTCCTCCCCACAAGTGGGGATGAGCAGCCGGTAGTAAACTTGTGGGAGGAGCAGCTCTGCCACCTACTGGCCATGTGGCCTCCCTGTGCCTTAGGTCCCTCACCTGTGAGATAGGACAGTAATGGTCCCAGTACGGTTGTTTGCAGGATTCAGTGATGCTCTGTATACAAAGGTGCCTAGCACGGGGAGGAACCCGATGACACCGTTTTATCAGTATTGTTTTAGTGATCACTCACACACGCACACAGCTGACCCTGTTCAGATTAGTACGCATCTCGTATTCTGGGTGGAGCCCAGGTGACCTCAGCACGGGGCGCTGGGAGACTCACCTGTGTTGGGGTCACAGGTGCCATGCTGGTTACAGGTGCAGGGAACACAGTTGGCATAAGGACCCCCTAGCGGTATCTCCCTCTTGTAACCCAGGGCACAGGATTCACAGAACTGGCCCCTGTACCCCTTGGGACATGAGCAGGTCTCCACCCAGGAGGCTGGAGGGGATAGCCCCCGCTGGGCCGACGTGAGCCGGACCTCCATCAGGAACACCTGGCCTGTAGAGTGAGAAGAGAGGGTTACACGCACACCTTCTCCCCAAACCTTCCTATTCACATACGTAACAGGTGAAGGGTTATCGGCCCACGTATGTAAAGGCAGCCCATGGATCAATTATCATTTTAAAAAAACAGTCAGATAAAGGGAAGAGGAGAAATGGGCAATTTTTAGGACAAGAAATAGATATGACTGGAAAGTTTACAGAAAGACATTCAGTCTCACGAGTTCTTAAAGATATGTAAATTTAAACAACAGTGATACGATTTGCACCCCTCAGATTGGTAAGCATTTTAAAGACCAATACCAGTGGAGGAGGGGGGTGTGGGGACCTCCGCATGTGGACGTACAAATACAAATCGGGAAGTTCTGCTTCTAGTAATAGAGGGGCAGCTCCTATCAGACCAATCTTCCCACGGGAAACAACCAGAAACTCTGGGCAAAATGCAAAAACCAACAATCTGTAAACCTGGAGAACCACCACCGCGGGCAGATAGCGGAGGAGGTGGACTCTTGTCGTCAGCACATAGACTGGTACGGCCTTTCTGAAGGAAAATTTGGCAGCACGTGTCAAAATTTAACCTGTGCCCTCTCTGACCTCACTCTTCCATTTTGAGGAATCTGTCCTTTAGACAGTTACACAAGGATGCAGAGACCTTTCTGGCAGCTATGCCCTGCTGTGCTGCTTGCAATGGTGAAAAACTGGAAACCACGTCAATGTCTACAAACCGGGCATGGTTAAACTTTATGGAGCAGCTACCCCACGGGATGATACACAGGGGACACAGACAGCCAGCCCCTTCGATGTGCGATGACACGTAACAACCTCCAAGACATACTGTTGGCTGAAAAAAGCAAGCGGCAGAACGTTGTACTGTGTGATCACATTTCTACACTAAAAAAACACAGATGTGAGTACACGCACACAGAAAGGTCTGGAGAGAGAGGCCCCAGAACGTTATCAGCGCGGGGAGGAGGTCTGAGGGGTGAGGGGAGATGGAGGGTCAATACCTCCACGGTCTCGCCAGTTCATCCCCCGCACCCAGGGCGGGCCTGGCATAAGCGGCACCTTGTAAATATCTATCAACAGAAGGTTGAGTGATTGACAGAAGGAAGCGCTGGAAAGAGTGAAACCGAAATTCCCGCAAGGAGCCTCAGCAAGGGGGCTTTGGAAAGACGTGGGGAGCAGGGGGGCTTCTGGGAGCATGGACAATGATGGTGACAATGAAGGCAATTCAACCACAGCTCCAAAGAGGAAGAAGGCACTGGGGCGGCAGGGGGAGTGGTTACAACCCCCAAACCTTGGACTTAAAGGGGCCCCAGAAGGCTGGTCACCTAAGCCAGAGGTTCTCAGAAGCAGCAAAATCACCCCTGGGAAGCACCTCTGTGGGCGTTTTGGTTGTCACCATGATGGGGAGGTAGGGCCAGCGAGGCTAGAGGCCCTGACACACACAGAAACTCCCCCGGTGACTTTCTCGTGTCCTGCTGGATGCTGAAAGGGCAGAAAAACCCCTCTGTACACATCTGAGCCCAGACCCCAACTCCACTGCACATCAACACAGGTATCTGGAATGTTTAAGTGCATATGGAACTGTCTAGGAACGCAGGCGCCACGTACATGGAAGGAAGGCTGTGCTCTGTTTTGTTCAGAATTTTCATTCACCATTTTGGAAATCATGTCACCATCCGGCTTCTAGGATTTTAGTCACCATCACACACCCTGTCCCCTCTGTGGCCCCCCTCTGTAACTGCCCCTCTCACAACGATCCAGCAAACATTCCCATGTAGTTGTGATTTCAAAATGACAAACAGAAAGGATTTAAGGAATAAAGTCGATCATATCCAGCTGGACACGTGACACCTGGTTTTGAGCTTCACCCACAAATGAACGGTTGCTCTGCCGAGTGTTTTTCCCCCAACGAAGCGATGCAACTGTCAAGGCTGAGCAAACCTTTCAAAAGAACCACGCTGACCAAGGCAGAGAACTGTACCCCTGCTTACCATCCCCTTGCCGCCTGTGACCGGGCGAGCCAGCCGGCTTCTGCCCCCGACGTCTCCCTCTGTGAGTGGCCCCTCAACACTCCTCAGATAAGTCTGCCCAGTAACTGCTGATCCTAACCTTGGATTTTATTCCAGCATCAGCCATCCACGCCTCTGCATTCACATTTCCTTGCCCTCCATGCACATAAATGGCCTCTGAGCTTCTTGTTTCTCCTAAACCCAAACCTATTCATTACAGGGCGGGAAGCTCTGACTAGTTTATGTTGTCCAGTGTGGTCATGTCTGAGCATTTGGAACCATTTCGAATTCATATGATGATGATTATCATTATTATTTTGCTTGAGGAAGATTAGCCCTGAGCTAATATCTGTTGCCAATCTTCCTTTTTTTTTGCTGAAGAAGATGTGCCCTGAGCTAACATCTGTGTCCATCTTCCTCTATCTTGTATGTGTGACGCCGCCACAGCATGGCTGACGAGTGGTGTGCAGGTCTGCACCCGGGGTCTGAACCCACAAACCTGGGCCGCTGAAGCAGAGCACACCAAACTTAACCACTACGCGATGGGACCAGCCCCTGATTATTTTTTTATATCATTTACTTTCCTTTTGTTTATTCTGTATAGTACATGATTTTTTAAAACTGTGTCGAGGTAGGTTATAATATCTATGAATTCCATCTCCAGATAGTAAAGTGGTGTTATCTACGAAATACCTGTTCTAAAAAGGGGCACTGAGGGTGCCTGGTCTGCGCATCTACAGGTATGGGGGGGTGGGGGGAGGGGGTGAGCCCCCGAGGTGGAGAAAGTACATTCAGGAAAGAGGGAGGAACCAGGAACAGTCAGAGGAGCATCAGGCCAAGCACCATGGGTCCAGGGTGAGAGGTGGTGAGAAATCCCCATCCAAGCTGTGTGATGCCTTAGCCTACCCCCCCACCCCCCACCCCCCGCTGAGAAGGTTCAGAAACCCAATCGGCTCTCTCGTGGCTCAGGTGCAATACCGCCAGTGACCAGCAGGGGAGCCGATCCCGGGGACTCCTGGCCTGCCCCCTGCGGCCAGCATGGACAGGGGGCCCTCAAGGGTCTAGCCTTCCAGCAGTGGTGGACTGTGTCATGGAGTGACTTCACTTATTGGTTCTTGGCTGCTTCACTGGCCACACACCTGTCGCTTAGAGCTGTCCATCCTCAGGCCCCTCACCTGTCCAGCTGCTGCCTGTCGTTGGCATCCAGTCCTTCTGCCCTACCAGTTATATGACCTCGGGCAAGTGTCCTGACCTCTCTGAGCCTCACATTCCTTCTTGGTAAAATGAGGACGTGAACCATCCTGCTATGAGGACTCAACAAGGCTATGCATGAAGGAGCCCCTGGGCCCAGCTGGTTTGGGGGGGTGGGGGGTGTCCTTATCATTACTGACCAGAAGGGCGTGGGCTTCGGCCGCTGGCCCGGATGCGAAGGGCGGTGAGATTGGCGAGCAGTCGCTGGAAGTGGAAGGGCGGCAGCGGAGGGGCCACGTCCTCGGAGGTCTCCTGCAGCCTGGCAGGGGAGAGGGTCAAACCAGAACCCGAGGCCGGGGACAGGTGGGGCCAAGAAGCCTCCAGCAGGGGTGGGGAGGGCGGGAGCCCCCAGAGCACAGGGGGATCCAAGTGTGCCCGGACCTCAGGGACCACCCTGACCCCCCTCTCAGGACAGGGCAGGACACTCACTGGAACTCAAGTTGTACCTCCCCCGGCTGCCCGGCGTCCTGGGGGCTGGACAGGCTGGAGTGCCGCAGAGACAGGGCCAGGCCTGCCCCTTCCAGCCTCAGCTGCACGGGGAGCGGAGAGCCCCCAGGGGGGCCCCGGAAGGTCAGTGTGAGGGGCTGCCCATAGCTGAACCGCTGGTCTCCCAGGAACTTCTCTGAGGACAAGAGAAGAAGGCTCTGACGGTCTTCCTTTAATTCGCTTGACTCTAAAGGTCTACATTGATTTTATTGGCAATTAAACATTCAAACAAGATAAAGCTACAGCAAGAGGAGAAGCCAAGGCTCCCTGTACCAGATGCTGAGGGGGCCCACCCTCACCTCCTGACCGTCCCCACAGCCAGCGCTGGCTTCATGGGCGTGCGACCCCTGCAGACACACAGGGCCCCACGCCTGGTCTAATGCTCTGCTGTCACTGTCCTGACTTCTTAATCCTTTTGTCTGTGAACCTGGGTTTTGTAGGTGAAGTCTGAGGGGACAATGGAGCAGAGATGCACAGTGCGCACGGCGGTGGCGCCCGGCCGCCCGTTCCCATGCAGCGCTCCTGAGGCCCCAGGAGCACAAAGTGCGGGGGACCCACATGCCCAGGGGTTTAGGGAAACAGAGTGAGAACAAGGTAAGCGTGTGACATGTGTGATGGAGCAGGGGCGCTGACGGCCCCAGAGGCCGCGCTTTCCATTGGATCAGAACTCGCTTCCAGCAGAAGGAAGGTGGTGGCGTTCCGAGACACATGGAGGAGAGGAGCCCTATCACACTTTCTCACCCATGTTATTTCCCTGTTGAGCCAACCACTTGTGCTGGAAGTCACGACCCCGAGGAAGTGAGCAATGGGACAACCCCATTCCTTTTCCTCTAGTCCTTCTGTGCTCAGGAGTCAGCCGGGGCAGACGGTGTCGGCAGAATGCGCGCACATCAAGAAGTGAGATAAAACCGGCTGAGTTCATCCACCTGCCGTGCCCACTGCAGTGTGCCCAGCACCCAGCGCAGAACCCCCCAAACACTTCTTGAGTGAATAATTCCTTTTTCTAAAATGTTTTGACAAAGCAGCAGAGCGCGTTTGCTGCTCGTGGGCCTCTGAGCTTGGAGCACCTGCCTCACGAGGGGGTCCGAGGACCCTGTGTCCTTTGCTTCCTGGCTGCAGGGCACATGGGCTGTGTCTACACAGCTCCTCAGACACCCGTGCGTCACCTCTCCGGCCCCTCCTGGAGAGGGAGGGAAAGGGCAGGACTGGGTCGGGGGAGCCAGCAGATCCCGAATCTGGCCACAGTAGAGCTAAGAATGGACTTCAGGCTCCCGGTTCTCAGTCCAACACAGTTTCCAGGAGAACAAAGTTGCCCTAATTGATGGGGGTGTGGTTCAGAATAATCTAGAACTTCTTGCTTCTGCAGGAATCCCACAGCCCTGGGCAAGGGACACTGTGGGCTGGTGGGGTGAGGGGGCTGGTGGGAAATGCACAGGGATTGTCTGGGATGTGACAGTGGCCTGAAGGAGCCCCGGGTGGCAAGGCAGTGATCAGGAAGCGGGGGGTGGGGCATGCGGTCAGCAGAAACATGGCCCCCAAAGGTGCCCACGTCCTAATCCTTGGAATCTGTGCATATGTCACGTTGCATGGCAGGGGCAGTGAAGGCTGCGGCAGAACACAGGCTGTTAATCAGCTGACCTTACAGCAGAAAGACTGACACGGATCATCCAGCTGGGCCCAATGGGATCACAAGGGCCCCGAAAAGTCGGAAGAGGAAGCAGAAGAGCTGGTGTCAGAGAGGTGCAATGTGAGAAAGACTCCATCAGCTCTGAGGATGGAGGAAGGGGCCACGAGCCAAGGAATAGGGCACCTCTAGAGGCCACAAAAGGCCAGGGAATGGACTCTCCCCTAGAGCCTCCAGAGGGAACCAGAGAATGGACTCTCGCCTAGAGCCTCCAGAAGGAAGAGTCTCCAGAAGGAACCAGGGAATGGAC